TTTGCGATGCAGGAAATCTACTGATGCATATTAATGGCTTACCAGTACTAAACGTGCAGACGCTGCATATTCTCGGGCTCACTTTTTCCAACAAACATCGTTGAAAAGCACACTGTCTTCGGTTAAAAAATTCTATTTTAACAAGGGTAAATTTTAGTACGTTGCGTGGAGAAGCCATACGTATATTAACACTATTGCTTATCTTACCAAAATAATTGTGTTAAGCAAGATTGACTATGCTTTGATAATTTATGGCAATAGCTGCAAATCTAATATTAACATCCGTAAACCGGTCTATCACCAAGCCGTCAGAGCAAGTTGTTACGCTTTTCGGACCACGCCTATAAATCATATTATAATTGAAACTGGTCTCCCAACTTTAGCAAACAGACTGTATCAGTTGAAGGCTAAAATTGTCCCCAATCCTCTTAATTCAAACAAATCCATTCTCGGTGATGACGTGAGAAAGATTATTATTGCGAAGAAAATTCCAAAGTCGCCATCTGCAATTGACCATTGTTTGTACGGCGCAAAGGAATTAAATATTCCCTTAAAAATGTTCCGCTCTTTTGGTGTTAAACCTCCATAGATTTTGGAAGACTGCTCTTTTGACATCTCGCTGTCTATGCACAAAAAACAAGATACTCCAAATTACGTCTTCAGGAATCTAATAGCTGAAAAACCCAAGTATTGGAGAGTACTGGTTGGAATCTTTTATACACAGACGGCGCAAAATTTTTCGGCCTGCCTCCTGTTTGTGCTGTGGTAGATGCTACAGGACAGGTTCTTCTCAATCACATTTTTCACGAAAATACTTCAACGTTCAGAACTGAAGCCAGAGCTATCCTTCACGCTGCGAATCTTGCCCATAAAAGCAAACTCAAAACCGGAATTGTTACCGACAGTTTGTCTGTATTACAAGCTATTCGGAACCCTTCGACTTCGAGATGGAGCACCATCAACAAATTGAGGAATATAATTACTACACCCGACGGAAAAATTAAAATGTTTTGGGTACCTAGTCATATCGGTTTATTGGGAAGTGAGCAGGCTGATCGTGAGCAGGAAGATGCTGCTTCTGCTCTTCTATTTATGAATGATGTCATGGAAAAGTTGGATCTTCAAAGATACATTGAAAAAAAATTTAAAGAAACATTACAGAAGGATATCTACAATACTCCCATCAGCAGTGCTCTTTTTTTGGCCCTCAATTAACTCCACTCTTTATATACAACAAACATACATTGGAAGAAAAGTTAAAGAGAAAATTGGGGAAGAAAATTTACAATACCATCATCTACACTTCTTTTCCATTAACCCTCAATTAATTCTACCTTTATATCCAACAAACGTTGAGAAAACCAAGATCCAAACATTTTCGAGAATTCACCTTGGTCATACTATCGCAACTCACCAATGGATCTTGAAGAAGTCTTTGCCCCCAATCTGCAGTGGTGGACAAACTCTTACTATAAAGCACATTCTCTGCGTTTGCCTTAAGTTTTCCTTGGCTAGAAGTATTGCGTTTGGAGCGACTAACCCTTTGGACATTCTAAAATCAGCTTCGGAACCGAATATAAATTCTATGTATTACTTTATTAATACTACTAAGCTCATTATCTAATGTACATTTATTTATATTAGAGCCGTAACCTGTTCTGCTAGTGTTCAATGTCTTTTTTTTTAGTCTAAGAATTTATTTCATTAGTCTAAAATTATAATAATATAATATTAATAATAACAATACAAGAATAGAAAAAACTCGGTATTCAAAAAATATTCGAATAGTGACTCTGCCCTCGACTATTTCGCTTACTCGGTGGCGAGGCATAGATTTAACTCCCTCAACCACCATTATTACTGCAGATACCTTCAAGTCATTATATCCTCTCTGTTTCCTAATCCTAAATACTTCTTTAAATTTGCTAACTCTAAAAAAAAAATTTCCACGTATCCCTCTCATGTTTCTTTTAATGGCTCTGATTCCTCGGATGATTTTAAAATCTCAAATCTGTTTGCTGAGTATTTCCGACGAAACTCTTTGATTGCTAATTTCGGTTTATCAGCGAACTACTCATATCCTATAACTAACTCGGTTTCAATTCCCAACTTGGTTATTTCGGAAGATGAAGTGTTTAAAGGGTTGAGTTCTCCAACATGTGTACTTAAATCTTGCGTTGTCGAGCTGTGTGGCGTTATCTCAAAGATTTTAACCTGTCCTTGAATTTAGGTGGTTTCCCTTCGTGTTGGAAGAGTAGTTTTCTTATTCCTCTCCACAAAAGTGGAAGTAGACAATTTGTTGAGAACTACAGAGGCATATCCAAGTTGAGTGTCTTGCCCAAGTTGTTCGAGCTTATTGTGACTCAGCATTTGGCCTTTGTCATTAATTCGTATATTTCTCCGCACCAGCAGGGCTTTCGAAAAGGACGATCTACAGTCACCAACTTGAGTTTACTTGTGATGTTTTCAAGGCTTTTTCTAGTGGCTCTCGCACAGATGTTATTTACACTGATTTAAGCAAAGCATTTGATATAGTTAACCATAGACTACTTATCTTTAAACTCCAAGCCTCTGGTTTCCCACCCTACTTAGTGAAACGGATAAGCTCTTATCTGCACAAAAGATCCTTCAGGGTTTTGTTTAACTTCATCACCTCGGATGAATTCCCTGCTATGTCTGGCGTACCTCAAGGAAATCACTTAGGTCCCATTTTATTTAGTGTTTACATTAACGATCTTCCATCGGTGGTTAATCCCAGCCAGATCTTAATGTATGCTGATGTGAAACGGTTTTCCTCCTTCTCTGTTGAATCGCAATCACATCAGCTTCATGGTGACTTGGATAATTTTACTGCATGGTGCTCTTTGAATCTTCTGAAATAAAATCTGAGTAAATGTGAAAAGCTTCCTTTCTCAAGAAGAAAGTCGTTCATTACTTAGTATTTCATAGACTCGCATAAGTTGGAGGACGTCGATACGATCACAGATATAGGCGTTCTATTTGACCATAGGTTACGTTTTAACTTGCATATTGAGCTCTCGATCAGCAAAGCTAGGTCCGCGCTTTGGTTTTATAAAAAGGTCGTCCAAAGAGCTTGATGATCCCTACATTACGAAAAGGCTGTACATTTGTTTAGCTAGACCCATACTCGAGTATGCCTCTGTTGTGCGGTCTCCTTCATATAGGTGCTATGTAGATTCAATTGAATCTGTTCAAAAGCAATTCTTGCTGTTTGCCCTTAGAAATTTGGGTTGGGATCCGATTGCCTCTCTTCCTCCCTATGAAAATAGGTTGCTTTTGCTGTCCTTACCGTCTCTTGAGAAACTTAGGTTTGTTCTTGGCGTTTCTTTTGTAATCAAAGTAATAAAGCTATTGACTCGCCTTCATTACTAGATGAAGTAAGCCTTAATGCCCCTAACCCCTTCTCTAGGTACTTTATCTTGGTTAAGCTTAGTCAGCGTAAATATAATTATGAGCTGTTTAATCCGCCGAGAGTTGTTTGCAAGAACCTAAATGACGTCTATCACTTATTCTCGTTGTCGGACTCTTTAAAGTCTACTAAAGCAACATTACTTAATACGCGCGATTTACCTATGTCGTACTTAAACTAGCTTTCATCCTCAAAAAGTCGTTACGATTCGAAAATGAATTGTTGTTAACTATTATCGGTTGCCAGGCTTATGCATGTTTGCGATGGCTTAGGGGTTCATTTGCAATTTGGTCCTGTACCGGTTGTAAGTGTGGCTCTATGCTGGTTATGTGCAGGTTTTGTTCTTTTTTTTCCTCTCTGTTTTTTTTTATGTCCTTATTTTTGTTATTAATTTAATATAAGTTGTGCTTTAAGTGCCAATTGAACTCGGCTATTATTTGTTTAGTTCAGTTTTATGTATAAGTAGAATTAAAATAAATAAATAACGCACACATAGGAAAATATGCGTAGCATTAAGCAACATTGTAATCCATACAGCGATGGTGATGGCAGCTATAGAAGCGCTATGGACAATACACAGTTGTGTTACGGCATCTAAAGTGGGAAGTTGCTAATTGACAAAATAAATCTTTTTTTTTACCGATAAGGGGTGGCTGGCTCAGCTAAGTCGCTGTCCCTAAGAAATTGGACGACTGTTAAGTTTAGAGGTTCGGCTGGTTGAGCTTAGCCGCTATCTCTAAATGATTCTTTATACTGCTAGGCATAATAGAATTAACTAAAGCGGCATTTAGAGAATGACGGCTGACCCTATTCGCGCATAACATCAGCTTCCGTAACACAAAGTTCGTTTTTGCAAAACAACGCGGGAAGCGAAAAAATTAAATTTAGTAGAACCAAATCTGGTTGTTAATAATAATAACTGGGTGGGAGCCACCATTTCGCTGTACTAATTTTTCGTCCTTACACCATAAATTTACAATCGTAACTGTTCATCGATATTTTCGGAAAATAATAATAAACAAATGATTACACAAATACACGAATATCCAAACCTTTTATTTATATATAAATTTCTTGGAACCGAAACTTCTAGAAAGTTTTGAGCAATAACTTGGCTAAAAAGACACGACACAATTTTTTGTTTTCGATAACGAGAACGAATGCTGACATGAGAGATCAGACTATAAGTCTGCTTTGGAGGATGGGGAAAACGTCTTGTACCGATAGAAACAACAAGTCTTTTCTTTTTGGACACGTAAATATAGTTTAACACGACAAAGAATTAAAAATATGTATATAATGCGAATAAAAAGAATCAAAGTTAAATACAAAGTAAAAGTACATTGAAAACAGTAAAAATATTGAAATATAAGTTAAAGTACATTAAAAACAGTAAAAAATAATAAAAATGTATATTAAAGTAGATTAAAAACAGTAAAAATATTGAAGAATGAGTAAAAGAACGTAAAAGCCTCAAAGTGTTGTTAATGGAATTTTTACATTAAAATTTCTCGTTTCAAACATTAACGAAATCCAAACAAACAATTGTACTCTGAATCTAAAAATATACGGTTTTAAGCATCCCAAGCAAAACCAACGGAAAATGTAGCCATACAAGGAACAGCAAGTATATATATGTAGAAATTTGTAAACGGTATGCCTAATACGAAAGAAGTTAAAACATACTCAAATGCCAAATGAAAGGAGAAAGAGGAGGAGACATTGAACGTGTTATCTTGTTTTCTTCTACGAAAAGGTAAGTTAATTTGTTTATATTTCTTTTTATTTCTCTTTTTTTATATTATGTATAATTTTATGATTAAAAACTAATCCATATCCACTCGTAATAAGTTTTGAATTTTTTTCTTAATGCAAAAATAATATCATTTATTATAGTGTAACGTAAAAATATAAAAACAACTTGAAAAATACTCTCTGAGTAGGATATGGAAAGGTTTCGTAAGGATGGGTGCGTGTGGTTTATATCACGGGCGATGAGTTAATGGGCCGACAAATGCATAGACGCAGACTAACAGAGAGGAGAACAATACGGACGGACCGTAGGCATGTAAAGTGACGTCACGCCACTTGTGATCCCGGTAGGTTTAAATTATTTATAATTTATTTTGTAAATGTAGGTGGGCTACCCAGACGGAACAATGTGTAGCCACAGTTCTAATTAATGGATTACAGTCGTTTAATGTTACAAGGATGTACTTTTTCTAATATTGTCCTTTTATATTTCGATCGTTCTTCCAAGAAGCTTATAAGTTCTTATATATTCTTCTTGTAATTCCTACGGATAGTCTTCTCTGCTCTTATTCAACGTATCTATTATTTTCTTTTCATCTTCTTTTAGATTCTTTTTTAATTTTACTTCCACCTACTTTTCCCTTTGAGCATCGTTCGGAGTACATTTAATAATAGAATAATATCAATCATTGTAGTTTCTAATTGTTTCCTATATTAACTGCTTTATAGGCACATCTTTCTAAGTTTCATTCATTGATTTGAATTGTTCAGCTATTGTAGAGTTCCCTGTATGACTGTTAGCTTTAGCAAGATCTTCTAGTTGTTCAATTAATGGTAAATGGTATCATTTAGTAGTTGAGCTGCTCCAAATATAGGTAGATTATCTATTACTGTCAAAAGGTGGAATTCTTTAATAATATGTGTCCGAATTTATTGCTTCATCTTTTGTTGTTTTGGTGTTTCATTGCGTGAAAATTTCAATTTAATAGGATTCTTCGTTTCTTTTTTTTTCATAAAGTTACATTTCTTAAAAGATTTCTCAAAATTACGTCCCTTTTTTCATAAATTTACATTTGTCGATTTGAATTTTCAAATTTGTTTGTTCAGGTACTGTGAATATGTCTCTTATTGCTCTCACATGTTCTTGGAGCGATTTACTAAAGTTCAAAATATCGTCAAGGTATACTACACATGTCTTATTAATAAACTCCCATCAGATTGCCTTGGAATGTTGCTGGCGCATGTTTTAATCCGAATGGCGTTCTAATAAATTCGTGCAATCCATGTAATTGTTCTCTGATTCGTATTTGATGAGGCCAAATCTACAGTTGCGAAATTATAGTTTGTCTATTATTGAATCCATGTTTGAAAGTGGAAATTTATCGTCAATTATTTCATTTTTTGAAATCTATTACAATTCTATTCTGCTATTCCTCAAGTGAGTCATTTGGGCCCTATCTTATTTATTGTGTATATTAATGATCTCCCCTCTTATGTCTAGTTTTCTAAAATTCTTATGTTTGCGGATGATGTGAAAATTTTTACTTCAAATGGTTGACATTGATGGGCGACAATCTGATCGATTATCTTTGAATTATTGATGTGCTGCCAACATTATGTCATGTAATTTAAGCAAATGCAAAAAAATGTCATTCTCAGTGCCTATTTGTTATTCTATAAGTAATTATGCTCTGGAGAATGCGTCTTGCTTTAAACATTTAGGCGTGTTATTTGATTGCAGACTCAAGTTCAACCCTGTTGAATGGTCCATTCACATGGCTAAGTCAGTTTGGGTTTTGTTAAGAGATGAATTAAAGAATTTAACGACGATGTTTGGGCGCCTTATTGTCAATGTCACACCGATCGATTAGTCTTTGCAGAGAAATTTTTTTCTTTGCGCCTTACGCAATGTGCCATGAGAGCTTGCTAGAATTCTTCTGCCATATGACAACAAACCTAACCTAATATCGTCCCTGCATAAGAGAGGGGAAATTATCGGGATTATTGTTAAATTGTTTCCTCTTTTTACCTATTTAACTTAGTCGACATCAATGTTGCGAATAGGTCTTCACGACACTATATTCCCTTGGGAATATCTCATTGCCGCACTAATTATGTACTGTTTAGTCCGCTTGGCTTGTTATATAGGCTTTATAACAGGAATGTAAATATGTCCACATACTTGGTGTTTTAGAAACATTCAAATTCCAACAATATAACAACCTCAAGCGTAATTCCCCATTAATTCAACGATGGCTCTTACATAACTGCCTCACCATCCTCCAGAAATCACCACGCGTGAACCGCACCAAATATATGTGGAATGAATTGGGTCGCCATGTGCGCAAACCCTCAATCTCTTCCGTCCAGGATCTAAAAAATAGTACTACTACGCAAGAAAAATCACACAAAAGATGTCAAAATATTTAAACGACATTATTAAGCAAAAATATTAATTTTTGACAATACTAATGACGCTACGTTTTTGAAGTTGTTGAAGTTTTCTTGTCTACTTTTTTTTCTTGACTACTGGAATAATGTTTTGTTTGTTTCTTGTTTTAGTTTCTAATATGTGCAATATGGGCGTTTTTGTCGAACGTAAAAACCCAATATTATGAAACTCACTGTATGTTACATACAGAATGCAGAGTTTCATAGTGAATTACAAATCAAAAGTTAGTTTTGTGTCACACTCTAAAAAAATTGTTTTATAAAGAAAGTTTCGTATTTTCGATTATTTTTTTTCTCTTCAAAATTTAATAATTTGAAGTTTTTCGTTTTGGTGCAACTATTTGTAACTAAACCATTTTGGCTGTATTTTTTTTTGTTGTAGTCCGTTTATAGCTATTTATTTTTATAAATGCAACTCTCAGAAGCCAAACTACCTCTGAGTAACTAACACTAACGCAGAGATATTTAACTTTCGTCTAATTTCACAATTATAAGACAACATATCTCGCAGCTATTGTAAAGGAAGAAGCTTGAAACCGAAATTGGACCTTAGCTTCTGCCATACGTAATTGGTTCACTAATCTTTCGTTCGTGGTAGGTGTAACTTTTTCGTTTATTTGCACTACCAAATTGAAACATTGGAACGAAATTTGTTAGTTCGTCTTGTTAGGCTTACGCAATTTTTGTCCTCAAATGAATTGTTTTTTTTTCTACAAGCTTACTGAACATATGAAATAAAATACTAAGATATAGTTACCATTTTAACAAACAACACTGATGGCAAGAAAACATACAGTTTGGCATCACTGCACGTTGGCATAAAGAATTGACTATTATATAAGTGTGGCTTGTTAATTGAAGAAATGCGTGAGTAACCTGAAACGTAAATTTTAGTGAAATCAGTCAAATTGTGATTTGCCCATTCAGGCGAACATGAAAATAGTGCTTTGTGTGCTACTGTTGCTGTTGTGATATTTCAATTGATAATAATAAATGTAACATTTCGGTGCAGAATGTTAATAGTCCGTTCGATATTTATTTCAAATGTCAATTTTATAAAATCATCAACTAGATGTATATCTAATGAATTGAGAAAAGTCTTTCATACTCGTTTAGATAATACCAATGTGCTTAACCAATCACAGTTTCAATTGGCTTACCTTAGAAAAAATATAAACGAATTTAACCTCGATTTTTTCTTAAACAATGTAAGTCAATCTGATGATCGACGTTCCGCAATATTAGATTTACTCTCGCGCTTTAGAGCTAGTAAGCTGGCGAATAAAACCTTGGAGTCGACTCAATTTGCTGCAGTACGTTACCTTCTAGAGAATTGCAGTTTGGAAGAATTAGTAGCGATATTAACAGATCGCTTGCAGTATGGCATATTTTTAAACAACTTTACTGGTTTTGCAGTTTTGCAATCCTTATATAAAGAGAAGGACTATAAACTGGGTTTGCCGTTGGTTTTAAAATTAATATTGCATGATGGATTGGACAGTAGTTTCGTGGGAGCGTTTTGCGTAAAATCATGCTTTATGGTATTGAAACATAATTTTGAAGAAGTGCATCAACAGGAGCTTGAGAACTCTCCCGGCAAAGAGGTATTACATGAAAATAATCCCAATGACAAATGTGTCTTTAACATTTAATTCGTTTATTCAGGAAAAGATGCGTGTAAAATTTTTACGTAATCCTTTAACAATCGATAAATATGCCGAGATGGGCAAAGCGTTGTTGAAAGTAGATAAACATTGTCTCTCCGATGCAATGCGGGAAAGCGTCTCCATTTTAGGGCTAGTCTTAAGTAAACGTTTTACTGATTTAGAGAAAATTTTGGAAAACAAATCCTATCGATTATATGAGGATGTTTATATAATTTGCTTGGAATTCTTAAAGAAGCACAATCATGAATTTTATCACAAGTTTAACAAGATTGTCGATCAGCGTGTTCAAAAGCAGAGCTTTGAAAATGATATGGACATGTTACTCAAGGAACTGCTTGTTAAAGAAGAACCTTCTATTATTAAATGCCAACAAGAAGTATTTCGCTTATGGCAAGAAAAATGTGAGTTCGCGAGGCAATCTGTGCAGCAAGAAAGTAATGAGAATGAGCGTAAAATGCACATAGGGAAAGTGTTAAATGAAATATCTGCAAAGGAAGAACATTTATGGTATTTCGATCGAGAAGAACATATCGAATTGCAAATCTACAACAAAAGGGTGTTTTATCCAAAAAGATGGTTTGGTAAAAAGAAAAAACCCCGCTCTATAGATGAAGATTACGTACCGCCGGAAATAAGAAGAATTAATTAGAATTAGCAGATTTACTCTTTAATTTATATGGTTTTTTTAAAAATAGATGAAAAGTTTGAGTCATAATTATTTTGAAAATGCTTTCATACCTTACGAACTTCACTTCGTAGTAAAATTGGATTATTTTGAAACAAAAGCAAAGAATGATGTTTGACGTACTATCAAAGCCGAGGAATACTTACGTTGAACGTTTGTTGATGATAAATCGGCATCGAATTTTTTAGAGGTCTTTTGCAATCATTTCTTTGCATATGAGTACACTTTCTTAATGAGCGTAACACTTGAAAATGACTATAAAAAGCCACAGGGCATATTAAAAGGAGCAATGTCTATATTTTGCTGTAAAATATCTCCCCGGCTATGTTTGCAAAGCATCTATACACACGGTTACATTTCCAATATTCGAGTTACTATCATCACACAATATCAGTCACAATAATATCAGTGAGAAATTTGGAAAGTATATATTGTTGAATTGTTTCTTCTGCTAAAAGATGCAATTTTGGCAACTGTAAATAATTTGGAAATGTTAAGAGAGGATAGGCGAATTAGAATATTACGAATTACAGAAAATTCGGTCGTTTTTCAAACAAAACGGAAAAAATTATTATTTCCACTCATTTAGACCAAAAAAATAAATTTGATGAACTCTGAAAGAGATAGATAGTAACTTTAATAGAATTAAATGTTTATTAATACAATGTTCTTCAAGTACTTCCTTATATCTGGCTGGGCTATATGTTGTTGATATCCTCCTGATCGGAAAAAATAGAACTTGGAAGTTCTAACGTGCAGCTTGGCATTGATAACGCGCCAAATTGATTGCAGCAGTGCCCACAGTAATAAAAGATACAAGATTGAAACTTTTTAAATTTGCTTTTTGGGGAATCTTGCTTTCCATATTCAAAGTGAAAAAATGGCCCATGCCTGCATACACTTGTGGGTGACCTATTTTTCTTTTTTTTTTAGTAATCTAGAATGAACATAACTTATATGTGTCACACCTGGAGTTACATTATCTGTTTAAAACGTGCTATTTCGTATCAGTACAATAAATTGAACATCAAATAAAAGGAGAGTAATGTATGCTCAGTGTGCTAATTTTACATAAAACTGCGGGTATAATGACTCACGATATTGGTTTCAAATAAGAATAATAATATATAATGAGGTTTTTTTTAAATATATAAAATCTTGGCGTGTTAATTTTTTACGAATTAAAATGTTCCCAAAAGTCCCACAAACTTCTGTTTAGTATAAATGCGGCTGAAATAAAATTCATCTTCCAGCTTTTAGTTCACTGAAATAAGCATATTTAAAAATATATTTGATGTAACTTTTTACACTCACTGTTATAATATAGTTGGAGGAGTATTGTACATTGTGCAAGTCTTTTGTCCAAAAAACGGAAGTATAGGATTACGCGAACCCTAGAACCTAAAGTTGATTTTGTTTTTTAAGTGAATAACTGGTAGCTTAAGGATCCGCAACCAATAACACATACATTACAACACTGCTTGAATAATGTGTAAAGATAGGTTATCTGAAAATACTTCTGTACTCCAATATTAAGATGCGAAAGGCATTCAGATTTCATTAGAAACATAGATATATGTATTCTAAGATTAAACTACAAGTTTAAAATTGATGCTGTCACCCGTAAGCTGCAAATTCTAGATACTCCACATTTGCTTACATTTGAAAATGCCCAACTGAAAAAGCTCTTATCAATAGGCATGAAAAGCATTTGCAAGTGGTTCAGGAGTTATTGTTAAATTTATTAACGTTAAAATTTGTACTTGATCTAATGTATAGAGCAAAAGATAAAAATGAATTGGTCCGTCTTTCTGCGTTTTGGCGGTTGAAAAATTTTAAAATTTGTAAAGCTTGAGTGTGAAAGCTACCGATTCTATTCTACATTTCTTAATTTGCATAAATTTCGATCACATGACTAATAGTCTACGCATTATCTATTCCATGTAGATAGTGTCGTAAATTGTCTACTGTAGAGCATTACCTACGCGATGCAAAGAACACAATAAAATAGACAATTTAGCGCAGCGTAGATAATGCGTAACGTCGTAAATTATCTACCTAGAATCTACGCATTGTCCATGTACTGACAGCAAACATTACTAAATATTTGAAGAATTTAGTATACACTTTACGTTGGATGTATGATATCAGACAAATAGGCATTTTATTGAAGCCATAAGACAACATTACAATTGTCATTATTTCATCCTTCCTTAGATTTCATCCGTTTTAGCCTTTGTATAAATTGGCTTCTTTGTAATTTCCATCGCGTTCGATTTTGCTAATGTGGGAAAGAAACACTTTTTTTCGGATAAAGATTTTTTCCCTTTGTATTTATTAAATATTACGAATAAAAAATACTATCGGTGTTTTTTTTTAAATGATATAAAACTTATAAAAACTTTTGTAATGAGTCTGTTTGGGCAGGGTATACTCAGCCAATCCAGGACTCTTTCCAAGAATATTTATAAATATTACTTGGACCTTCGGTATGGGTTTTACGTTTTTATTTATTTAAATTGCAAAGAGATTATAGTATTTACGCGAATTTTAAGAAACGTGGGAGGAAACCAGCGTTGTGACCCGAATTTCCGTCGGAATTTTCTTCTGTTTAGTATAACCTATTCGAACGCTTGTTATCAGGCTTCTCTCTTGGTATCGCGGGTTGCTTCGGCTGCTATGACACAATCGAAAGGCTGAGCGTGGTGCGGCACGCTCTTTTATAGTCGCAATCACGACCCCTGCTTCGTTACAAGTATGTTCTAGACTATACTTGCTTACATATGTATTGTTCAGTTTTTTTGACCAATTTTATTTCAGCTTTTTTGACCAATTTTGTTCACTTTTATTTCAGTTTTTTTGACATTTGGATGTATTTTTCTTATCCTCGGTTTCTTGTATCTTTTTGCTTTCTTATGCTTTTTTCTTATTCAATGATTTTCTTATTATACTATTATACAATTTATATTACATTGTATAAATTACATGCAGGTAGTTTGAATAAATTTAAAACCCTTTATTTAATTATATGAAAAAACAGTAACTTGTTTACATATAATTTTTGCTTAAATATACATTTATATATATAAGATTATATATATTATATAAAAGCACTTGTATGAATATATGGTAAGAGTTAACAGAAAATGTTGAAAAATATGCGAAAATTAATACCACATACATCTTAATCCACCACATACAAGGTCTGCGCCATGTTTACTCTTTTGCTGGAGAAAACTATTTTGAACAAATTGTTCACAACTATGCCAAGAACTGTAGATCTGTTTGAACACTACTGCCGTCTTAGCTAAATGTTCCTTACGTTTTGCAATAAGTCTTTTATAGTCGCAATCACCACCCCTGTTTCGTTACATGTATGTTCTAGATTATACTTGCTTACAAATAAATGTATTGTGACAATATTCTTATACATCTAGTGTTACGTATGCTACTTTAGGTTGGCTTCAACGTGTTTGCCTGTCTCTATGTTGCAACCTCAGCTCCGACTTATATGAAGATACTTCTCTTATATATATCTTAGCGTTAATACTACCTTACGTATGAACTCGTATGATTTCAGCGTAGGTTAACTTCGGTTTGATCGGACACAGTTTTTATAGGCCTCAACACGGTTAGGTATGCCTACCTACGCTATGCTTAACTTCAAAAACCTTCTTCCTATTGCCTATTGCTTGTCTGAGTATTTTATGTCTGGCTTATTGTCATTGCTGCCTGATCTGGTAACCGTTAGGTATGTGAATTCGATGTGTTTACTTAAGCAAAGGGTTTTTTTCGTGCCAATATGTTTTTTTATATTTAGCTTATTTCTTACCTGCGAATACTTTGAATGCATTTTATGCTTTTGAGTACATTTACATGTGAATGCCTTGAATACGTTTTATGCTTTTGAGTACGTATGACTCATATAGTGGTATAGGTTACATGCGAATACTTTGAGTACATTTTTATATATAGCTTGTATGTTACATGCGAATGCTTTGAATACGTTTGTATAGATAGCCTCTATGTTACATGCGAATACTTTGAATACGTTTTATGCTTATGAGTACATTTCCCGAAAACTCATGTAGTTGAATGTGTTACTTGTGAATACTTTGTGTACATTTTTATATATAGCTTGTACGTTTTTACTTTTAATACATTTTCGTATGGTTGTGTACGCTACGTGCGTTTGAGCGGGAGGAGGATGTTCAGCAAAAAAACATGAAACGGACACATCGCGCGCAAAACGCTTCCTTAGACTTTATTAACGGAACATTAAAAGAAGCAACATAAATTTCTCAAGAAGCAATTTTTTTGCTGCTGTGTTTTTTCCCTTGTACTCTGTGTAAATAGGTATACAATAGAAACCGCGAATTTTTGGCAGTTTATAATTACTCGTGCCAGGTGCAGCTATAACTTATAATGAAAGTGAAAGATTAAATATCAAAGGCGGGTAATAGTGTACAGTCAGTTTAATAGAGGTTAGTTCCCAAAACAAACGCTAGTGTTATACTTAAAGCCGCAAACCGCGAATTGGAAGAATTCAGTTACAAGAAGAAGAAATTATTCGTGCCCTAATCTACACAAAGAAAATGTTAAAATTGATTGTACTTTGTATAATCCTTTTTAACTTTCCTGAAGCCATCAAGTTTAGTCTTGCTCGTAAGTATCTGCTATTATTTCAGTTTTCTCTCTTTACTGGACTTGCTATATACCTACGTGTAAAGATAACTCTAACATATTAGTCCATTTCTTAATCAAACTGATTTTCAGATATTATTAAATATTATTATATTATTGTTTTAAATAAAACATTATTGCACAGTTAAGTGTTGTTTTTCTTTGCAATTTTTTTTCCTCCAAAAAAAAAGATAAAAAATCAAAAAACACATATAATTTGCCTAACTTCAACGGCATGTTTTAAGCAATATAATACAAGAAGACATTTTCATGCCCATTATCAACATCGCATCCAATCATAATTCATTGACACTGAGATAATTAAACTCATGAGATAATTAAACCCATTGTAGATTTTTTATTTATTGAAAGCAACTCTGTGCTCTCTCTACACATGGTACTTTCTTTATATACCTTAAACAGAAAAAACCCAGCTAACGGATTTTAGCGAGAAATCAAAATCGTTTTCCTGAGAATCTCGTTGCTGTTTCCTTATGAAATAGCCTTCCTAGAATAGAATCAATAAATTGAAGTTATATTCATATTAGCGGCACACAATAAGATGTGCGCCGTCATATTAATTGTTGATGAGGTGCACACAATTTTTTTTATGCTTTTTTTGTTTTTTTAAGTAAAACTCCCCTGTGCTTTATTTATTTATTTATTTCTTTATTTTAATTCTACTTATACATGAAACTCAACTAA